AAGGTGTTAGGAAAATTGCATAAAATGAAATGCACATCTCTTGTAATATGTGTGAGGGTCACTTTTTCATCCTCCTGTTACAAGGAAGAGACTGAAAAAAATTAATTAGACTCTCTGACTTGATTTAAGGAAATGTGACATGTATCCATTGCAGGTTTTTACTTTTAGTCTTTGGAAGGGATGGGTCTTCTGAGGGGTGTTGAGAGCTCTAACAACATGAGGTTATGTTGATCAAGTTCATAACTTCCTCCATGAAGCTGCTTACGTGAAGTTGAAATTCAAGCTAACTTCACCCAGTTTCCCTGCACTTCCTTTGCTGGTGCTCGCGTATAGTAGTACGTACTAAGAATCACTCCCTTAATGTCCAAATGCCCCATTCTATGATGGTTGCCGTACCTTATGTCTCCTGAAGGATGGGAATGACTTTGAGGAACCCTACCGCGAGATGGAATTCTTTATACCTCAACTACTCATGATCAAACTTGAAGTAAATGAGCCCATTATTGTCTTTAATCCATCTTTTGATGACTGCTGGAAATTAATACAGAACTCTTTCTTGGAAATTATTACTAACTCTGAGAATATTCCCAAGGTACAGTATTTACTTATTCATGTATTTGTGTTTTGTTCACTTATTAAATAAATATATATTTGAAGTGCCTGTTGGTAAAGGCAGTCTAGAGTGATATTCACCATAGGGAAGTTTCACTTTGGGGATTATATCCTGAGTACACCCCTGGCCCCAGAAAGAGTATCTGAGCCGTAAAGAAATGTCCACGCAGCCCTGGATTGTGCTTCTAACAAACACATTAAGAGTTATTTTGTAAGACTGAAACTGTTGCCCTGAGATCATCTTTAAACCTTAAACCAAAAATATCCCTGAAGTCTTAAAACCAAACAGTAGTTTAGCTCATCTAGTAAAAAGGTCTGCCTTGAGCATTCTGCTCCTTTAAGAACTATCTACATGGGATCAAACTGACAACAGTGACTGGAAAGATTAGATAGGAACATTAGCGGGCAGTGATTTCATGGGGGAACAACTCAGAAAAGGATGGTGAGAATGGTTGCACAATTTGAAGAATGTAGTCAATGTCACTGAATTGTAGAACCATGCAGAAATGGTTGAATTGGTGTATGTTTTGCTGTATATATTCTCAATAACAACAACGAAATAAAATACTATTTTAAAAAACAGAATAAACAGAAAAAGACTTTGTGAGAGAGTATAGTTCCCTCCATGTGCCAGTGTCAGAAGGACTGACGTGTCTCAAGCCATATACAGCTTGGGTTTTTCATGATGGATCAAGTGGTAGGACTTGCCAAGATTTTTCATAAAACTATCAAATTTCATTCTTATAGTTCCATTTGCTTTGTTTTATTTTTGAAACCACTAGGCTTCTGAAGGAACTCCGGTGGCATAGTGGATTAGGCATTTGGCTGCCAAACAGAAGGTCAGCAGTTCAAACCCACCAGCCACTCCTCGGAAGGAAGGTTGGGCAATCCTACTTCCGTAGTGATACTGCCTCGGAAACCCAAGGAGGGG